AATTTGACGACAGTAAACGAAGGTTTGGGAGTACGGATCAGAGTGGGAGACAAATTCCATATTATGAAATGTGTGGTGATTGAAGATTTAAATCATGATATGATAGCCGGAATTGTTGAATTGAGGAAAAAACATATCACCATCAATTTTTCGGAAAATAAACTGAAAATCAGAGCCGAACCAGACACCACAGAAGAAGAAAAGGAAACAGATGGGAAAACAAATTCTGGAAGGATCAATGCACATAAAAAACGTAAAGAAATCAATATGACTGTAGAGGATAAACCGAAAGTACAAGAAAAAATCAAACAAAAGAGAAAAGGGGAAGGAAGAAAAAGAAGAAGAGTTCGAATAGAAAGCATAAAAACAAGATGGAGACAAGAGAAAAACAGGAAACGGAAGGTACAGAAGAATTGTTGGCAACCGACGATAAAACAGAAAGGAAGCAGGAAGAAAAGGAAGTAATCATCAGAGAAATGAGAGGAATAGAAACATGGTGCTCAGAATACCAAAGGGAATTAGAGGATAGAAAGAAAACAAAAGAAGAAATGGCAATGATGGACGAGAATCCAGAATTTTGTAAAGAAATATTATGGACAGTGAACACATGTGAACAAAATGAGGATGAAAAGAAAATAAATTGTGAAGAAAACAGGGGAATGAAAATAGAGAAGATTTTAGAAAAGTATGGAGATCTCATTAATAAAGAAAGCCGAGTGGCTAAAAATTATGACCATTCTTTTAAGGTTAAATACTTGGAAACATTTTAATCGAAAACATATCCAATCCCGTATAAAGACAGGTAATATACGGGGTATTTTAACATTCACGACATCTATCAGTATCATGAGTAGATTTTAATAACATAGTGAAATAATTTGATCCTGGAAAACTTTTGTCATTTTTAAAATTTAACAAAGAGTTTTCAGCAGATCAAATGGCGGGGATTTGTTATGATATGTAAAATCGAGAAAAATATTGGTTTGCTTAGTATTTCAAATTCAAAAATTAAAATAATTCAGATAAGTCAAACAATAAATACAAACATTTCGAAGAATGAAAGTCTTTTAATTTTGGATTACTGTATTGAACAAAACGTAAAATATGCATAAATTATTTTCTTTGTTAAAATATATTTGAGTGACCTGCATAAGCTTAAGTGAAATCCTAGACAATGGAAAGCGGGTTTTCCAAATAAATTTGTGCAGTAATTAGGACAATAGAATAGATTTTAGAAAGATATGTTTTTGTTAGTTCATAAGAATTGGTAGAAAAAGATTATTTTGTAAATAAGTTTTAGGAAATTTTATAATTGTAGGTAAAAATTTGTTTGTGTTATCGAAATGAAGAAATGGGAGATGTATGACGCGTTTTGATTGGATGAGATTGAAAAAGGTGGGATGGTTGGTTTGAGAATGAGACGTTAGTTAGTTTTGGAAGAAAAAAATGATAGTCAGTTGGTTTCCAAGGGTACAAGGCGAACGGCCGTTGTTCTCGAGTAGTTTCCCAGAGGTAGGAAGCAGTAGCAGTGAAAGTTTGTGAGTTTTCGTGTAGTTAGTGTATCTGACAGAAGCTGATCCAGTAAAAGATTGTAAGTCATATTTTTCTACTTATATTCCAAGAGTCACTGTTCAGGCCAACGAGAGATTCAGTTTATCGTAAAGAGAAGATATTCCAAGAGTCATTTTTCACTCAGGCCAACGAGAGATTCAGTTTATCAAGAGGAGAAGAGGCTAGCATAATTTGAACGATTCGTGCATTTGAAGGAGATCATTGAGGACGATAAACTTGCAACAATTTGTTGTAAGATTGCTGATTACCTAGGGAGCTGCTAAGAATAGATAGTATAGGCTACAAGGAACAAGGATTTGGACCACTCATCATCAGAGAGAGATAGTTTTGTTTTTCTGCAGTTTTTCTTTTATTGATAACACAATTTTTACAATTACTTTAGAAAAGATATAAATATTTTGATTAGGAGATTTAGAATAATAATTGGGATTTTGAGATTTTAACTAATATTGTTTGTACCATTAATTTTGACGGTTCACGTAAGTAGAACAAAATTTTGAGAATCATTATATGAGATATTGTTTATTGAAAACATATATATATATGTATATATATATATATATATATATATATATATATATATATATGTATATATATATATATATATATATGTATATATATATATATATATATATATATATATGTATATATATATATATATATATATATATATATATATATATATATATATATCAAGGACAGTAACGGGTTACTGGTAAATAACAGACAATTGAAGGTAACCGGGAACGACCCAATACTAAGGAAGCAATAAAAAACAGGTGCTTCAAAGTGAGTGTCTTTTATTAGTAGTCAAGCTTTCGCCACATAATTTTTGGGCTTCATCAGAACTTGCTGTAATGGAAAAACATTCTTTACAATCATCGTAATTAAAGATGTTATATTTAATATTACCTTAACGTTGACACTATTTCTTAGTGTAAATTATTGCAGATGTGGAACTACACATTGTTTTTC